ACACATACTCAGCAGTCCCTCAGAACTTAATCTGAGGGGAAAACACTGACTCTCTATGATTAAAATACCCAAAGTAAACAAAGAAGGTATTTCCTCTGTTCACTCTGGAAAAAAGCATCTTAAACATGTTGTCATGTAGAAACCAGTTTGAAGCCCTGAGCTACAAGTGGTGTCCTGCACATTAAAAGAGCAGGTAAATATGGTTAGGTAAAAAGAGATGGGGAAAACTTAATAAAACACAAACACTTAGTATGCCCAAAACAAACTGATGCTGTTAAATTCCAGAAAAAAATAAAAATAAATAAATAAATAAGACAATGAAGAAGCTTGCCTATCAGATAAAGACAACCCCCTCCATAACTCAGGGGCAACAACAGCAAAAGCCCAATCACCTTTCAGCTTCAGCCTTGTCTCAACCGAGAGCAACTCATCAAGTGGAAAGTCTAAGCACTAGCGTGGAGTAACACCATGAATAATTTTAAGAACAAATCCTTTTGAAATCAGTCTTGTAATACATAAGGAGCCATTGAAGAGTGCCCAGCAGATGAGTGCTGTGTTCATGCCTGTGTGATAGATTTCAAAATGAGAAGCCGCATGTATTGACAAGTTTGAGGTGAGAGAAGGCAGCTTGTCAAAGCCCAGAGTACAACACACAACAATAAAGGCATGGATTATGTTTTTAAAACTTTGGATGAAGATAGTGGGCTTGAATTTTGCAATTTGTCACAATTGAAAAAATCTTTTTTTTGCTACAAATTGCCTTGGCTGTGTTTAAAGTAAGGATGCCATATAATATCACTGCCTGATTAGTGGCAATAGGTTTCAAATATGGAGTCAAGTAGCCAAGAATAACATGCTGGATGTCACAAGGCTAAGAATATTATTTACCTTAGCGTTTTGTTATTAAAGCTCAAAATATCCAGTGTCATTTGGGCTTTGATTACATTTTGGCACTCCAACGAAGGATTCCATACTAAGCATAATAATTCTATTTTTTGTCATCCCCCAAAAAATCATCCCCAAATAATGAAAGAAAATGACCAGATTTCACAAAATTGAACCCAACGGCAAACCAAAAAAAGGAAGATGTCATGACACAAAGCCCTGAGACCCTCCACAGGAAATATCAATATTAGAGGAAACACTTAAAAACACCAACGTATGCTGTTCTGGTTATGAAAGGATTATGCGAAAGCTCATGCAAATACATATCTTATATATGAATACAGCTGCAGGTATATATCACAGCAGCATGGGTTTGAAAGCCTGCGTTTTTTTTTATTATCTTTTATTCACAACACCAGCACAAAAAAAAAAAAAAAAAAAAAAACACCCAACAAAATGGCTAACCGGCAATATTTTAGAATTAGGGGATATTCAAACAGAGGTATTCTGATTGAACTGGAATGCAACTCAAGAATTTAGGTCTATTATGAATATTTTTTTCAAAGAAATCCAGGATCCAGGAATTATTTTATAAGAACAAGGAAGCATGTTTTTTTTTTTTTCAAAATAAAATGATCTCTAAAAAAATCTGTAATTGTTGTTATAATTCCGTCTAAGGTTTGACACCCTGTGTATTTCATTTTGTATAAGCTGTATCAATCAAAGGTGGTCCTAAACACAAAAGATTTAAAATTTTCATTCAATAAAGATTTTTTAAATCTCCAGCTTAACGTTTTTTATCATTAGGGTTTAATCAAATATAACTCAAACATCTGATCAGGCAAAGTATTTTAACTTTGGGATTTGAATTTTTTTCTATCTTCTAGCCAGAATGTTGGCATTCAAAACACTCAAAGGCTATTTAAATCTAATTTATAAAAGCTTATTTGTTGCATAAAGTATTCTGTCAAGCAGACAGATTGACTGCAGAACAAAGAACACTGGAAACATTCTGACAGATTAGATTAGAAGCGTTACCCCTTCTGGCTTATCCTATACTCAAAACATACTACGAACATGCATTTTGCTGTACAAACATTTCCCAGTCCCAGTGGGCTGGCAACTCCCCCAGCCGTAAAATCCATCCAACACAGACAATTGCAATGCATAACTTTAAAGTAACACTTGTGTTTCAGAATGTATATTTTATAAGCAGTTTTATCTATTGATTTTACATCAAAACATTTGGATTTCTTCTTCCTTCTTTGGATTTAGTCATCCTTATTTACTCCTATGAAAGCCTTAGAGTGCCAATTACTTGCATGGCATATTTATCATAATGCCTTCTTCACGTTCAGGTAGTTTTATCTTTACGCTTAAACCTTTCTGTATGGATACCTCATTAGGCTCCATGTACTGTAGTTACAGCCTATAAGTCCCATTCTAACATCAACTGGATAGCAGCCTTCAGGACAGACTGTAGCCATTATAACAGAAATAGCAACAAAAAAAAGTGTTTTCTATCCTACCCTTGTAGGCAGATGATATTTTTTTAAAAAAATTCTGCCTCAGCACTGCTTTTTGTCCTTTTTTCAGCCAATCTTTCTTACTCCTTTTCTTCATTCCATTTCACTCCCAGACTCCCTGTTCAAACTGTCCCTTGCTCAGGTGACTAATGCTATGTCAGAACAATGGTCTATTGTGTTTTATTGACCTCCACACATCGAGTTCTTCGTCTCTTTCTTCACTTCTCCCTGCTTAAGTATGCCTCAATCTTTTTCTCTCACTTCTTCCATTGTATTATCCCCATTTGAGACTAAAACTATATCTCTGTGTCAGATCTCCTCGATTAGATTTCCAAGGGACTGAGAGAAACTAAAGGATATATAAATATTTGGGAAAAGTTGTATACATGTAAAAAAAAATAAATAAATAGAAAAAATAAAGAGAAAGGAGCTCTAAATAATACATACAATAAGTAGGCGTGTCATGGGGGATCTACAAAGATTGTGGTTACATTCATTCAAAATAGCCAATTGGGCGATGCCACATTTAATTTAAGACTGATCATAAAAGGAAGATGAGGTTCTAATCAGTGAAAGTAATAATAAAAAATATTACTTAAAAAATAATGAAAATGACAATGTTAATAACAGTTATTTATAGTGGACTTAATTTAACAAATAAAAAATCATTTTTTTCCAAAAATTAAATATTAATGTCTCTTTATCAGAGAAGGAGCCACAGTCAGATTTACATCGAGATTATCCTTTAAACACCTGAATTTACCTCCACCAACTCCCGCCAACAAAAAAAAAAATAAAACATTGCAAACCAAGGTAGGTAGATAGTAATTAAATAATGATCAAATTAAACCTAAACTGCGAAACAAATAAAAACCCTCTCACAACAAATTGTTAATGCCCCGTTTAAGGTACCACCCTGTTTAACAAATTGTTTGCTTAAGTAGTAGTGACATCATATTTCAACATACGTGCTTCTGTGATTCAAAATTGCTGTATGTAAAATTACATGAAGAAAGACTCTATGCGCATTTTCAAATGTAATAGATGATGGAAAACTGTTTTTCTCTCATGAATGTTAATCACCAGAGTTTGTAAAAGATGGTCAGGCTGTAAAAACATCTAGCAATGCACCACAGACCCCCATCCCAAACTACTTTTCATAAAAATGATGCAACATTTCAGTTTAGTCTGTCAGGAACTCAGACCTTTGAACCCAGTATTCAGACAGACGGATCTGCAAAATTTGTAACAAGCTTTATTTATATGAGCACGGGGAGCGGCTGGATGGCAGCGGATAATCGGATCCTCTGCAGAGATGGGAGAACACAGGTCAGTATAGAATATCGGGCTGATGACTACTAGGAGTAAAGCCATTGTCCTGGTTTAACGTCCAGTCCGATGCCGGAGGTAGGAGAGGAATCCGGAATGTAGGAATGTCCAATGGTCGCGGTTGTAGCCGCTTCTAATGCTCAAGGTGAACGGATGAGCTGGCGCCCGCCGATGCCGAGAAGGCAGCAGTGTCCGAGAAGGAGAAACCAAGCCCAGGTGAGTGAAACAGTCCAGGTTTGGTACCCAGGCAGGATCCAGGAAGTCAGTTAAAAAACACAAAACCAACTGAACAGACTAGGGCTAGACTAAACTCAGGAATCCAAAATACTAGTGATGTTATGAGATGAGCCGAGGCTTTGAGGCGTGCGTCAAGTTTTGAAGGGGGCGTTTCCCCAGTGTGCGTGTCGAGGCGTGATTCATTTAGGGAAGGGGCCAAAATTGATGACGTCCAAAGCCTATCTACCGTGATACCACGTGACCGCTTCAGGAAGTGGTTCAGAAACCGCAAGAACTTCGACAGGCATTTAAACAGCCTCACCACTCAGTCAAGATGTGGGAGTTTCTAGGGGAGCTGCTTTCAATTTGATAGATTCTAAGAATAGATTGTTGGGAAAACAACCAATCTAGCTAGTGAAAACTCATTTAGTTAAATAAAAAACATTTATAATCAAAATCTGAACAAGCCACTGGACACAATTGTAACTTTAGTGTTAAGTACTATATCTGTTTCATGAATATTATCCATGTTGGTAAGATAGTGACTTTCACTCCTGAGGTTGATAGTTCAAGACCTGCCTTAGACATTTGAAAGTTGCAGTTATACTGAAGTGTTTTGGCTAATGTGACTAATTTCTATTGGTTTACCTTCGTAAATATGTAGATTGGCTAAAACCACTGCTAAATTAAACTGGCTGGTTTAGGCAAAGGTTTATTGAAAACATAACTTCCAACCCAGTTAAAACAAAAAACCGTGGAAAAACTATAATGTTTGAATAAAAAATGACCAACACCTTTCATTTTGCTCATCATTGCCCAATTTGCACAAGCACTTTCCCTGTTTGCTTGAGTTTATTTCACCAAAATGTCAGAAAAACCGTGTTACTAATTCTCTTCTAAGACATATCATTAAAAAAAAAAACTAACAAAAAATTTTATAATACATACCAATCACTGAGTTTCAAATTAACTTTAATAGGGGAAAAAAACAAACAAAAAAAAAACAAGAAAAACAATTCCAAAAAAAATCACAGATTATTTTACCAACTGTAGTTATCCACCAGTAGGGGGGGACATGTTCACATGAAGCCTCATGAATTGTGGGGAGCGCTGGAGCAATTTGGCCAAACGGTTCAATGCCTCATGAGGACTCATCTCACCATCACTACAAAATACAGAAAAAAAAAGTTGGGAACAATAAGCTCTTATCAGCAGATGCACCAATTAGACAGGTCAAAAAGAGTAGCAGAAAGTGCCAACCATCAGCACCAAGAAAATGACATGGTCATTGTTTATAGGAGGCTACCTACTCAAGGGCCCCAATAATGAATCTTTGTTTGCTCCTGACTTATAAACGTGTTAAATATAGAAATAAAAATTCCACACTGTATCACTTTCAAGTTTAATAAATAATTCTGCAGTTGATAAATATTTACATTTGCATTCCGTCCTCAAAAAATGTGCGAATATCTAATCAAAACTTTATCTGCATATTTTTGAAGGCACTCCAAATTCATTTGGAAGCACTGTCCACTTTGTGCACTCATACATAAATACTTTGGACCTCATTTGAAGATCTGCTCTGCAGGTGAAAAAAGGTTTGCACAAGTTTTATTGCATGCAAACCTTTTGAAGTTGAGGCCCAGAGTCTAATAGAGGGTGGAAGATAAAAAATACAGATAACTGGTTTATTGAAGAAATGATTGAAATGTAGAGAAATGTAGGGAAAGAAAGAAGAGAAGAGAGTTTATTGCTAAGCCAAATCTTTGAACCACAGACCTCCAGGCATCACAGGGGAAAAATACCCAATATTCAGCCTATGGTCTGAACAATATTACTGCTAAATAGGATAACCAGTCACCATGGACATAAAGATTTAACACATATAAAAAATGTGCCAAAAGAATAACACATTTAAGTATGGAGTAAAAAGTCTACGCAGAAAAGCTGATGTGACTAATGGCTGGTCAGTGTTAATGCCTTAATCAATGCTTGATTAATATTAATTCATTTAGCCCTGGCAGAGGGTGGGGCTAACCCATCACTTCCTGCTGAGATTGATTGGGGACAGGACACCAAGGGCGCTCACATATGGTGACTTTGTATCTTCATAAATACATGCAGAATCATTCATTCATCCTTGGTGCTGACTTGGTGTGAGCATTGTGATCTGCAATTAAACTGCTATTTAGGTTGAAGACAGGGTTTTATTGTTGATGTGTTTTTTTTCTGTTGTTTTTTTTTTTTTTTTTAAGCAAGAAGGCAGAGTTGATAAATAATGGCAGTGAAAATGCTGTTAGTCACCTGGACCTTTTTTTGCCAGATAACTGCAACAACATCTAAGTTTAGTAGGTAAATTAAATAAATGTCTGTTATTATTTCTACTAAACATAAAAGCCACATTGAATGTAGGCTTGTGCTCTTAGCACTAGTAAATATAAGGCATTCAGACCACCTTGGAAGAAGATTGCGCAGGTTTCCTATCATGATCAAAGCAGTTGTGAAAATATTAACTATACAGTGTGTAGGACCAATGACCTTTAGGTCAGAGGTTAAGATATTCTAACTGATACATAAACAATTATTAAAAAGCAGCCTCATAGTGAGATAGTGAAAGTAGTTTGTAATGCTTGCTGGTAATATTAAGAAAACTTTAACTGATTTATATTGTTTTCTCTTTTCCTCTATGTATTAAAAAAAGCTAAGTCCATCCCGAAACTGATAAAAGCATTTCAATAGGGTTGACACAGTTTATCACATTAACTGTGATTAATTATTGAAATGATAATTTCAATTACTTACTTACATTGCAGTGTCTACATAAACTGTAAAACTCCCTGCATAATTATTATAAAACTATTTATATGCATAAAACAAGCAGAACACTATGGCAATAGCCATACTGCTCCACTTGTGAAAGTAAAATCTGTTGGGGTACTTTTGGCATCAAGACAATTATTCTTATTGACACATTGCCAGACAGGACACTGTTAAAAAAAAATGATAATTTGGAGAGTAATTGACATTTGCTAAAAGAAAAACCCACTCAGAGCAATAATTAAGTCAAATCTGAACAAAGGTAACAATGTCGCTTTTTAATGAATTTAATAAATATGGTATTTCAAGAATGTGCTTTATTCTGCCTTCATCTGGTTCAAATTCTGTAAAACATCCTTGTTAACCATCTAATTATTAAGCAGTTATTGGAAACATAGTCATTAGTCAGCCCTGTGAAGACACAGTTGCAGCAATCACTTTTACTAAGGTGAAACGCATTCCTTTTTTTTTTTCAATGTCATGCTGAATCATTAGTCCTTTGATTCTGCAGGTGTTGTTTAGTTCCTGTCTTTATTTGCCTCTAAATGCTTCAAAGTTCATCACTATACCCAGATTTGGAGCCTAGTTGGTGGTTTCAGTTAATCCAGCTGTATTAATGGAAACTCTGTGCTAACCTTTCAATGCTGTTCCTTTGTTCTAGATTTTGTTTTGATCCAGCTTAAAAAAACTTTGACAGATGGATTACTGGATCTCCTATATTTATTTACCCAATGGTTCATAGTCACAGAGTGACATCATAAGGTAAAATTGTGTGTTGTGTGCAAAGTTATAATAACTTATGTTGTTGTTCATTACGCTGTAATCTGAGTGAGGGGGTCACGTAGATACTAGTGTTGCACCGATACCGATACCAGTATCGGATGGGGCCCCGATACTGCCCTAAAATGGTGGTATCGGTTGCGGCGAGTACCAACAAATAGGGCACCGATACCATTTTGAGAGCCATAAGGTTATTCAACTATTGTCACCCACTCCTGGTAGGCAATAAAAAGTTCTGCTGGATTCACTTTGTATTAGATTTTTTCCTGCTTCACAAAGGTAGGCAGCAGCTTGACAAAGCCATGATGGCAATTATTTTACATTATTATGGTATCGGTATCGGCCGATACTGCACAGCCAGGTATCGGGTATCGGTATTGGGGCCAAAAAATGGCATCGGCGCAACACTAGTAGATACTGAATATAAGGGGCGAGTGCCACATTTGAATTTTGTGGTCTCTAAAGTAACCTTACCTACTGTCAAAAAATAACTCCTCCCATTTTAGTAGGATTTAAATCAATCAAGTGCTATACCAAAAAACTGACCCTGCTTGTTGAAGTTGTTTAACTGTTAAAACAAAGCGTTTTCTAATAATCTTACTCATGAAGGAGAACTTTAAGTTCTGCCCTCTACATAGTTCTTCAGTAGCAGCTTGTCCAAATAGCGGTTTGATAATTGCTGTTTTAAATTATTTGACTGATTATTTGACAGAAAGCAGAGTATTACAGGCACAGCTTTCTTAAGTAAAGCTGTGGGTAAAACATGGAGACTGCAGTATAAAGAGATTAGTTAACATATAATATATTCTTGTTGGGATCTGGAGGTCTGTCCACCTTTCTCCAGCAGAGGGCACCCTAGGTCTCCTGCAACTGAGCTGACGACCACACCTGCAGCTCATCAGTCATCAGGAGACCAGCATATAAGCAGCGGCAGGACTACACTCCAGCGCCAGAGTGTTAAGCCAGTTATGGTTAGCAAAGCTTGAGCCAACCAGCCTGTCTGATTCTCTGACTCCCCTGAAACCAGAATCTGAATCTTATCATTTTTTGTCCTCTCTGCTTCTTAGGAACAAACCTGACTGAACCCTGGAACTCTGGAAGAGTTTCTCAGCTGAAACCTGCTTGCCAGCTCTCAGGAGCTCTTCTGAAGAATCTAAGGGCCATTTCTTACAGGTGGAGCATATTTTCATGGAGGGACTGTCTTCCCAGAAGCAACCTACATCTTAGTTGGAGCAAATGAATCATGATGCTGAGATTTTAGAACAAATAAAGGAATCCAAGTCAAGTTAAAGTAGATCAAATTTTACATGTTATGAAATTTAAATAAGTGTGTGATAAACAATACAAATTAACCTCAACATGCTCTCTGATCCTGACCTTTAATTGATAAGTGTCTGGGTTTGTTTTGTTAATGTATCTATGATTTATCTAACATTGACCCTATAGAGAAAAGGAAATAAAAAGTAAAGATTTAAATGACTTAAATTGAATAATGCTTGTAAAACCTTTCCATTTTTATGATTGCTATATTTTGCTACCATTCAAATAAAATTGTAAATGAATGGTTTTCCCCCATTTTGCATATTAGATAATATAGCAAAGGGTGGAAAAAGCCTTTTTGGGAGGCCAGGATAAACCCTGAATGTGTATGGCTTTTTTTCAAGCTTTAGAATATGGAAAAGTGGGGGAAAATGTCTGCTCCAATGAAACCAAGTATTGCTCACTGCACAGCCATTTTTTAAGCTAACTAATAGCAGACCATTGCCCCTATAAATCACAGAAACAGAGATAAAAATGAAACCATCAGGAAGATGGAGAGGAGTGCACCATGCCAGGACATAATTTTAATATACTTGTATGTGTGTGGGTCTTATGGCAGAGTTTCCGCCTTGATACTTGATAAGTGTGTATGAATGTTCATGTTTCTAAAGATGCAAGGATATCTTTTTGTGTGTTATCTGTCTTTCTACAGAAAAGCATGATTAGGGGGTGGTCCGGTCCGTGTGCGGGGGTGGGGGGCCGGGCTTGAAGCAGGAAAGAGATGGGTTGGTGTGGCGGTGTCGCCGCTCCCCTCCCCTCACATCCGGATTTTAGGTTCACTTATGGGGTCATCCGATAGTCCCGGGACCGACCACCGGTGTCACCGGGTTTTTGGTCCTGGTATTATTGGATGTGAGTGTTATGTGTGAATGTGTGTCTGCGTTGTTATTTTCTTTATTTATTATTATTATTATTTTATTCAATTTTTTTTTTTTTTTTTTTTTTTTCCTGTGGTACGAGTGGGGGCACTAGGGAGGGAAGGCATGATTGAGATGGTGTGTTTTTTTTTTTTTTTTTTTTTTTTTTTTTTTTTTCTTTCCCAGGTTGGGGTCTCAACCGCACCCTCTCCCAAATACATCTCAAGTCTCCGCTAAGTGCGGAGCCCATTCCCCCCGTCCTGCTCTCCCTCCGCTGGCTGGCGTCGGGGCTCACCGGTGCACTGGTGGAGCTGGGGGTGGATGCCCGGGGGACTGCTGGCTCATTCCTGGCGGCCTCTCCACTGGCCCCGGCCGGCCGGGGCTTTGCTGG